GAAATATTCTATTTTCAACACTGAACTCTGAACATTTTACTCAGACAAATCTTCTTTAAGACATTTCCTTACAGTCAATGGGAAGCTACTTTTTTCTCCTTTTTTCACACTACTTTGTATTATTGTTGAATTTAAAATAACATATATTTATTCGTTAAACAAAATTGGTTGTCATTGTTTTTTTCCTTGATGTTTTAAATATTATGTATGAATGTTTATTACCTTCTCAACACGCAGCCACATTATCTATTTAACCCATTCAACATTGGTGACCACAACCCCCAAGAAGTAATACATTCCACAATTGGTCAACCCGACGTTCTAATCAACATTCTACAAATATAACACTAAAATTAAAACAAAACAGTACACAAGGAAAATACGAAAAAATAAATACGTAACTAATCACAAAATCAAAATGGCTGCAGTTAAAAAACGAGTCAATCTGATAACAAAAGAAAACAAGAAAAGAGGAAAAAACGGACAGATTAGACAAAATGAATACAAAAAATTGGAACAAATATGTACACAGAACTTTTAACAAATAAAACACAGAAGACTTAACAGATATTACAAAGGAAAACAAATAACAAAGTAACACGTAACAAATAAAAACGGAAAAAATAAAATCTGATGGAAAAATAACACATAGAACAATAAACAGATAAACTCTGACAGGGGTTACAGAAAATAAAAAAGGAAAAAATAAATTCAAAAGAGAACTTAAAAGTAAAATAAAATAAAAAAGAAAACTAATAATAAAAGAATAAGAGCAAAATAAAGGGAAAAATAAAAATGGGGAGGGTAATAAATTGAAAAAGAAAAAGTCAAAAACTTTTGCAAAACAGTCATAAGAAAAGAATGCAAGAAAATGGTGAAAATAAATCAACCTTAACCAAAATGTAGTTTACAGTTCAAAAAGCTCATAGCGCAACAAAAAAAGTCGAGTGGTAATCACCAGTCAAAATCAGTCTGCAAAAGGGATAGCTGGCTGATGTCATGATGATCACTGGTGAGTGTGAATGAGTTTCTGTTTTTATTTGCTTTGGGTGGCTCACAGAGACTTGGCGCGAACTTGGATTTCAGTCACAAGCTGTAAAAATTAGTTACGTGTGGCCTACTTGTATATTTATTAACCAATGAGGGCTCAAGATTTTCTTGAAAGTGTATGAAGTTGAAATTGTTCTGTGATCCACTTTTTTGCACAGATTTGACCCAACTATTTTGGGGTATTGGAAATAATGTAGAATAATGTAGCAATAAACTTGAGTTCATCATCTAGCTTGGTTTGAGAGCAGATCATTAAGGCCCTATGAGTTAGGGTCTTAATTAAATTTATTTTACGTTTTATGGGACAAAAAGAGTCCCAATGGGTATACAAACTGGTAAATGTCAGTTTTCGACGAACAGAAGTAAGAAAACCCAAAGAAGTTCATCAAGAAAAGGAAGGGAATTATTAATTTCCTTTTCTTGTGTAAATTTAAGAGCTGGATGAATATTGTTCAGGAATGAAAGAATATAGTCTGCTTCAGTCTCATTATTGAAGGGACAAAAAGGCTCAGGTGTTGTTATTCTTGATTATCAAGATTATATAAACAAGATGATAACTATTCTTAAGGATTCTTCTAAGTTTGTCCAGTTAGGCCTGATTGTCATTGTTTATTTTTAATTGTTATCATAAGGACTTGGTGCTAATATTAAGGAAACCCCCAAAATGAGCACCCTGATTTCCAGTTCATGTGCTTTTTCATGGTCCTTATTTATAGTATGTCTTTCATTTTTACTGTCTATCCTCCAAACAATGATGGAAGTGTAATGTCTGACAAAATAGTTCAGCTAGCATTTATATTTGTGGTGATTTCAATATTCACCACAAGGAGTGGCTAGTCAAATCAAACAAAACTGATAAAGAAGGTAAATAGTTATGATTACTCCATTACTTATGAACTAACCCATATAGATAAGCCCACTCATGTTCCTGATACAACAAGGTATCATGCACAACTCCTAGTCCTTTTTCTCACATCCTTCCCTGAAAAAAAGCTCAACTGTAGCATTACCTTCATTGGCACTTCAGACCACTCATAGATCAATGTTAAATTTGATACCAAAAATCATTTCCTGATGTTCCATTTCATAGAATGATCTTTTAGTACATCCAAGGGTAATTTCAGAAGAATAGTTATCATCTTGTAGAAGCTCTTCTCTCAGCATTCTTCAAAAATAAATCCTCTAGAAATACCTCCCACATTTCTGAATGGATACTTTTTGACATAGAATGTTTCCTCCTACAGAAAACATATCAAGAAAAATGAATAGCCAGCATTGGTTAATGTCAGGATGTGCTGCAGCCATGGCTCACCATAACCATTACTACCATGTCTATCATAGAGAACAGTATAGTAGGACCCTTGGTGCATTCAGAACTGTCTGCAATAATTGTAAGAGAGTTCTAGAAAATGCAAAGAGCAGCTATGCACAGTTAGTCCAAATGAAAGTTGAAAAGTGGTTCACATGAGTTCTGCAAACAAAATTTTCAGCAAAGCCTACTATCATCAAATTGCCCTGATGTTATTTCATCCTAATCACATTCTTTGCAATGAACTTTGTCTCTAATTCAACATTAGATGACAAAGGCCATCTCCTACCTGACTCCTCCCTTCTCATGGAGCATAAACTTTGTAATATCTATCAAAGGAAGTTTCCTGACCCATCTTAACTCTAAGAAGGCTACTGGTCCAGATAAAATTACAATGGTAAGAGCATTAACCCACAGTTATCTCTAATTTTAACAAAATTGTTTAACTACTACCTGAAGGAGAAATGCTTCCCAAGTTTACCAAAGGTGTCGGCTGTATGCCCTGTTTTCAAGAATCTAGGTGGGCACTCATTCCCTTTGCAATATCAACCCTTCTTAGTCTCATCGGCAAACTCTTTGTTTATGATCAACAGGAAAGTTGTTGATAACCTCAGCATGGCCAACCTCTTTAGCAACAAACAGTATGGATTTCATTTTTCTAGGTCTAATACTGATGTCTTAACTGTTATTACATTATAACTGATAAAGCAGAATGTTTTGCTCATGAATTTTCTTTAAATTCTTCTTTTGATTTATCTGAGGTATCCATGCCTAACTTTACACTTAAAACCAAGCATTTATTGTGTGATATGTGTATAACTCTATTCATGGTTCCTGCTATCATCTCTAAACTGGATGTTAATTTGATGGTATCCCTGCAATAGTCCTTAAGGAATGTTTTCCTGAACTGGCTGCTGTTATTTCATAATTCTTCAATAAATGCCTTTCTACTTCTTGCTTTCCAGCTTGTTGGAAATCAACTTGTATAGTTCCAGTATTTAAGAACTCAGACGAACTTAGAATCCTTCTAGGTATTGGCCTATTAGCCTTCTACCTCTTTTTGGTAAAGTACTAGAGGCTCTAATCAACTCCAACTCCAACTAGGGTCTTCTTTTGGATAAACAATATGGCTTTCACTTCTCTAGGTAAATTGCTGTTGTGTTAACAATTATTGCTGAAAGAGTCTGTCAAGCTTTAGATAAGAATAGTGAAGCTCATGTTGTTGCTTTGGATATTTTGAAGGCTTTAACAGGGTTTGGCATGATGATCTTCACATGTTGCAGGTTTACGGTATTTTTGGATGAATTTTAGATCTGATTCAATCTCTCCTATCAAATTACAAAATGAAAGTTGCCGCTCTTCTTTGATTTTGTTGCATTGATGTGGGTGTTAACAACCTTCCAATGTAATCAATTATCAATTCGATATCTATGCAGATGACACAACTATTTACTCCTGTCTTAATTGTAAATTGTATTGGTTTGATAAGGTCAAATTAACATCTCAGCTTCAGTCAATTTCCCACCAATGTATCTTCCCTGTGACTTTTCTATAAGTATTTTCATGGTAATTGTTCTCATGAGTTTTCCTCTTTTGGTACACCTCAACTTTATGAATTTAAGCATAGTACTGGATATGATATCCAGGCATTTATCATGGGGTTGTAATGGTTTATCATTATATAAATATAAAATAGTGAATTGAATATGGCAGCATTATGCTTATCACTATATAGAGCAGATATTGGAAGATACAATGAAAGCAAGAGGAAGACATCTTTATTATGACAAATGTCATTCATTTGCTGATATTATTATTATTAACTTTGTAGACAATGTAGTTTAAACAGCCACAGCCTTCCTTGTGGATTATATAGGATCACACCCTCCCCTGTGGAGTATAAGGCCACAGTCTGCCATGTGGAGCATAGGGTCACAGTTTCCCATGAAGAGTAGAAGGTTATAGCCTCATTACACTAAGTGTTGCTGCTGTGGTTTCAGTAGCAAGTGGATTTTTATGGAGTAGAGTTGTTAGCTTCACATCCAACTGGTTTTCAATTCAGAGTTATCCTTCATTTAGACTGGTTAACAAACAAAGCTAGAGGCCAGTTTACCTTATTATCCACTAGTTGGAGAGAGAACAGATAGATTCAAACATTTCCTAAATGTATTTGTGTGAAGGCAAACACAATAACCTCAGCTGGAATTTGAATTTGATACCAATCCAACTTTCTGTGTCAATAACTACTAAGTATATTATTAAGTACATGTGCAAATTATAATTTTATAACATTGATAAATAAATTTAAAAAACTTTCTATTTTCTTCTGAAATGAAAAATAAATCAAAGCTGGAAATGAATGATTTGATGTAAAATAATTTTTTTTCACAAATGTTTGTTTATGTTTAGTTGTCTAGTTGAAGCATAAAATTTTAATCATTGGTCAAAGTCAATATTTAAGGATATAAGTGAAGAAAAATAAGGTAGATAAATAGAAAAAAAGAAACCATGCAACAGAACTAGACATCTAGTTAATAAAATCATGAAATTTAATTGATAAAATTGTAGGAAATAAATCTGATGAAAATGTGCACAATAGAAATGATCAAAATGAATTTCATTGGAATAAAGAGAAAAAACATCAGAAAGATTTGTAGAGAAGGAATGAGAAATTGTGAGTCACAGGAGATAGAAAAGAAAAAAGAGGTGACTATGAACAGAATGAACAAATAGGACTTTATTAACTGAACAGCTGGAAATAGAAACAGAATGAAAGCTAGATTGTTAAAAATGAAAAGATTGAGATAGATATAAACTAAGATAAATATGAACAGATTCAGGTATATATGAACAGACTGGTAGAGAAATATAATACAGACTAAAAATCAATAACTAGCTAGATAGATTGAATTTGATTTAATTGGTGAGTGTGATGCTTGTGTGGAAGTTGGGGTGAAGAAGTTGGTGTTCACATAGGATAGGTCAAGAAAATAATGAATATAAATTCGAATGAGTTGAAATTTTACAAAATTATCAGAAGTTTTGATAAGTGCCAGTTAATTGACCTTGCATTGTGTGTGCAGGAGAGGTCCATAGGAGAAAGACCTGAACAAAGCTCCTTATTTATTTGACATATTACTGAAAAAGGATGTATCTCTGCAAACTGTGAACCAGTACAAGTGGTCATATGGCGGGGGGTTGTTAGGGCAGAAATTGTGGTTTTGATTGCAGAGTTGTTGAGAAAAATATATCGTTAGAGAGCTGTCCAGTAGAGGTAATATCAATAAATAAAAAGCACCATATTTTATTCAGAAGCAATGTAAGTGATACTGGACAAATGGAATATTAAGCACTACTTTAGTTGCATATAGACGTCACCAAATAGTTAAAGCAATGGTTGAAAGGGATGCTTATTGCTGATTGAAAAGGTCTTTTGGTACCATATGTTGCCTAGATTGGTGTTGGCAAGGGAGTTTGTGTTGGAGAGAGTGGTATTCAGATATGAATGGTAATATCTAGCTGTGATGGTTGCTGCCAAAGAAGGCAAGGTGTGCATCTATCTAAATTAGGGAGGAGGTTTGGATAAATCTTCCTGATGAAGATTTTGTTACAATGGGAAAAGGGAAGAGTTAACAAGTGTGTGCTTCTCTAATGTGTTGGTTGATAGAGAACCACAACCCATTCTAGATGTACTAAGAGTTGTTGAGTTGTCAGGTGGGTGATATTGGTCCCATAAAGGTCACAGAGAATGCATGACTATGAAATGGCATGAGGAATTCAGGAGAAGATACCAAGTTGTACACAGTATTTTTTATTTCATATCTATTGGCTCAATGTTGGGTGAATTAATCTCTAAATCAGCTGTGAAGCATCTGCAGATGGTTTTTGCTTTTTTTATCTTTTGAGTAAAAGTAAAATTAACCTAGAAATAATTTCCAAATTTGACCAGCTTAAAATGAAAGTAGATTTGTTGAATATATTTGAATAATAGTAAAATGATCCTCAATTTTATGTACATAATTAAAGATATTAAAGATTAATGGCTAAAATTTTTTAGACTTCAACTTTCCCATTTTTCTAGTTATAAAAAAAGATTGAGAATTTGATCAAAAACAAAAATATCTTACTCTAACATGTAATTTCAACTGTCTACCTTGAATCATAAAGAGTAGTGGCAAAAGTCCATGCTACCGTCAGTTCAAGTGTGCTGTTCAAATTTATCTTTTAGGTAGTACATCATTTGCTATTAATGATTGTAATGCACTTGTTAACTAAATTATCTTACACTGATTATTGGTAATTTATAAACTCACTGAGAACCTCAATCATAGGCAGATGATTTCATTTGAATGTTTTTCATTCATTAATTAATAAATCTAATGATTATAAATGATTTTAGTTTAATTCAGAAATCAAATAAATAAAAAAAGATAAAATTCTTCATACACAATAAAATTTTTATTAATTCCCAGAGATCTTTTTCAATTGAATACTATTTTCCATTCTCTTATACTTCTATTTTAATGTTGAACCCTTAGTTTTCTATCAGATTAATATCTGGAGAGAGTGGGGCTATTCCATTAATTTAGTGTCATTGAAATTATATTTGGCGAGGTGAGCAACAATCAACTTTGAAGAAAGTGAAGGAGCAGTTTTTTTTTTTCATAAATTTACTCTTGATTGTGACTTGTGTCTCTAGAAATGTCTTCTCTAACAATTTACAATTCTTTGAATTTACCTTGATAACATCATCAACTTTGTACTATCTACAATACTAGTCCAAAACATTACTCCACCTCTAACCAAACCATCAAGTTTATAAAATATCACCCTATATTAATCATTAAAAATTACTGTTGAGAAATCAGTTTTACATACTTCTCCCAACTTACATATTTCTATGTAATGCTTACTTACAGGTGGTAATTTCATGTTTTTAGTCATATTCTTAATTTTTTCTGTTTACATTTACAACACAAGCTTCTTCAAATGTTTTCTTGAATTTCTTAAAGCCACTCTTTTTCTATTTCTTGCCTTTTTCTTGTCAACTTTTTTGATTTTTCAGTGATGTCTTTCAATTTATTCACAATCTCTAATATTCTGTTCCTATCACTCAATAATTTTAGAAAATCTTGTTTTTCTTCATGGCAATCTTTATATATCTGAAATCAAAAAATATAAGTAATGATACTATTATAGATATTGATGTACAATATGATGAAGAACCTTAGTTGCATCATAATATCTTACACCACTAAGTAAATTATTGTAAATATTTGTAGGAAAAACAGAAAGAAAACAAGCTGGTCTGTCTTTTGAGAAAGTATAATGTTCTGATAAATATAGAGGAGTTTTTATAAACATACTGAATTATATAAAGTAGGTATAAACTAAATAGTAATCACAAAAAAAAAATTCTTCTTGATGGTGATATTATATTTTAAGAAAATATATAAAATAACTGTATTTACAATCACTCTCTAAAAACTGCAGATGCATTATTCATCAATACATTTTATATTTAAAAATTAAACATACATATTGAAGATAACCTTTTTTCTGGACAACTCTATGTAATCTTGCTAATTTTATTATTTTTTTAAAAATAAAATCTCTTTAACTGCATAAAATATTTAAAGATATTAAGTTTACTTAAAAAATTAGTATTTTCACTTTGTTGCACAACCAGTCATTTTTTTGTGATCATAGATTTTAGAATGACTACAAGAGATGCAATCTTTTGTTTTGAAGTTTACTACAAAACTTTCACTTATAAGCAAACCGACATAAGGACATTGTTTTCTTTAAAGGGTGGGGCCTTCTTGGTTAAACTGATAAGTTTATCTTTTTAAAAGCTGAAATGTTTGCGATTTAAAAGTACCACATTGATGAGGTTTATTACTACATCTATACAGAATCATGTAGTAATCCTAAATAATGTTTTGTCATTTTTACACTGTTTACAGAGGATGCTGCATTTTCAAAAAGGATGCTTCCCTAAAAACATCACTAATATTGTCTGCTCATGTGGTCTTTATAACCACATGAGCAGACAATATTAAATTTTGATTACATTTTATTTTTATTTATTTTTACAGAAGACAACATTGAACTCAAAAAAAAAAAAAAAAGAATTCAGTGAGGTAAAAAACAAATTTATTTTTCCTCTTTAAATATCAAAATATGTACAATTTTCTGACATTTTTATTAAGCATCTGCATAAAAGAAAAGTATAAATAACTGACATTAATTGAAAAATATTTTAAACATTCAATTTTTATTATCAGTCAGTTTCATCAAATCTTTTTTAATTTCATTATTCTTAGGAATTAGCATTTATGCAAGGCTTCCTTTAATGATAAACAAGCAACCTTATCTGAAAGACTTTTAGTGTGGCTTCCAATATTATCTTTTTCAGAACTTTGGTCTTCATCATTTCCTGACTGCTTTCTTTTGACCTCTTCTTCACTATAGTCTCCATCATCATCATCATCATCTTCTTCTTCATTGCTGCCTGATTCATCTACACTTGAGTCCTCAATATTGGAGTCACTTTAAAGATAAATAAAATGTTCAAATGAAAGTAGTTTTTCAAGAAACAAGAAAGTTCAATTCTAAAGATATTTTATTTTTCTTAAATTAGTAAATATAGATATAACCACTATAAAATAAAATCTTTGTGATTATCATCAGATATCTGAGATATCTAATAATGCATTAACTGATAATTGATGAACATTATCACTTTGGGACTACAAGTGAACAAAAGTTACTTTTGCAAAATATTACATGAAACAGCAAAAGAATTTGCACCCCAACCATAAAAGTATAATCTGAACAATCAACACAAACCAAGCAATATTTTTCAGCCAATAAAAATAATGAAGACAAAAATAATTTCTGGAGCCTGTAAAAAGCTATAAATAATAATTTTGAACCTCAATAGGCATTTAGAGATCAATATAACTTTACTTCTCATAACAATACAACATTTTTTTGTTTGAATATTTTACTTTGATAAATAATTTATCCAATAAATCAAAAACAGTTTTTTCTATTTTGCATGTCAAATAAATATTTTTCAAACACATACCATATATGCATAACTACAAAATTTAATGTATTTTGTCATACAAACTAATAGCAAAACTCCATTTATGTACTTAAACTCCCTGACCTCCAAATGTATCAATTTGTGTATAACATTGATTTGTATTTTTTTGGTTTTATCATTGTTAAAAATCTTTTGTTCCTCTTTAAGTTATTTTTAAAGTCATTTGGAGGTGATCATGCATGTATTGCTTACTAATCTTTTAACTATGATGAGAAGAGCAAAGTGTTATTGCAGAGCCAATTTCCTTCACCACTTGTGCTTAAATTTCTTGCAAAAAATAAATGCAAATTTAAGACTGTGTCAGCTGTGATGACTACATTAAGGATACCTTCATGAATATTTTGTTTTCCCATATGATTCATTTATCTCTTTTTGGACTTATAATTGACTTATAGGCATAGACACTTTATACTTAATGATGTAATGAATATGCATACACCTGGGTTCCCCCTCACATAAATACAGACTGATGGGGATGCCTATTAGGATGCCTATTGACTATGCCTATTGCCTACCACTACGATGAGGATCAGTCCATTACGGTTACCTGCTAGATTGTCGTACCCAGTTACAGTAGTCCAAAACCACTTTGCTACTTCAAACAAATATATCCCTATCTGGGACATATCACTTAATGTTTCCTACAACCAATCATAGAAAGTCTTGTACATTTACTCATAACCCATGGGTAAGAATCATTGAGTAAGAATCAAATGGAAGAGCTAAGTTCCAGAATTTCTGAAACAGTGGATTGCACAACCCTGGATCTTCCTGCCCAATAAAGAAGGTCTGAGCCTTCACCAATTTAAGATTTCACTGAGGCTACTGGTGATTCTTTGCAAACATAATTTGAAGTTTAGATGTCCATTCACTAATCTTCAAGATTACACTACCTTATTGCTATTTTATGTGTGTGTATGAATGTAATAAAATTGTATTATTAGGTAGAAGAGACTATCTCACCTAGTTCCCTAATATGTTTATTTAGAAATTATTGAGTGACCTTTTTTGTATTTGCCTGGCAAATTAATGTACAATAAAGTCTACTTTAAAGTCAGGCTTTGACTTTCTTACTTCACATGCTCAACACTTTTTTTCATTAAAGTGGAGACCTTCAAAATATTAAATTGTAATGGATTCTACTTCTTAGGAGTGAGAGACAATTCCACTACACCAGAGTTTTTAAAAACATTTTTTTTTTACTACAACCCATAGCAAAAACCACATTTTCCATTGCAACCCATATACCTCCATGTAATAAATCAGAGACAAACTCTGTTCATTTATTTAGCATCAACAATTTATATGTATATTTCTTATGATTTGAACATATGGGAATTGCATGTATCTATTTGCATTAATATAAAATTATTACTTGTAGAAAAACAAATTTAAAGGAAATTCCATCACTCAATCTGCAACAAGTTTGATGAACCAGATACATACACTCAACGTAGCAGACTATATATATATAATTATATTTAAAAAAATAAAATATAATACAAGCTTATCTTGGTGAAAAACTAGTGATGATTTATGAGTGCTGTGCAACATTTAGAGTTGTTTATATTCTGCATTTTGCTCTCACTTGAATTTTTTTTTCTTTCTTTTTTGTCGTGACCCATTTTATTTATATTGTTACCCACTGAAGGTTTCAAGACCCACAGTTTGAAAACCCTGCACTACACTATCTTATTTGAGAGTGTATCAGTGTAATAATTATTTATCCTGGATCAACTTGATCATTTTGGCTATTGGAATAATTACTGAAATAAAAATAACAGATCCCTTCTCTTTAGATTGGTTAATCACAAATATCACTTAATTCATGTAAATTCATTATAAAGACTGGTATAAAATTTTTTGTAATGCCCATTTGGAAGAGAGACTTTGTAAATCAGAGATGATGATATTAATGCTTTCTAACAATACTCGGTCAGACGCCACAAATTCCCATGTACATATTTTTCCTTTACCCTTTACATGATCTAATTATTTCAACATGAGGTTGACTGTGCTTGCTCTCTGTTGATCCATGTTCAAACCCCAAGTGTTGACAACACTTTATCTGACACCTCCTCTTTGAGATGACTTCCTCTGGAGTCTATATTTCTTCAGCTTCAGTTCAATATTTAGAAATTCTGTTGCTACTCTTTTCCATTTTTTTTTCATCCATGTTTGGGTTTAGTGTCATTCTGTAAACGCTCAGAAATTGTTGTAGCGTTACTTCATCTGACTCCTCTCCCTCCAACGATTTTAGTGTCCTTTTAAACATATCGACAAACCATTCCACTTGTCCATTTGATCTTGGGTGATAAGGGGGAGTTGTAATATGTTCTACTGCTAATGATTTACAAAAAACCTTAAATTCACTAGATGTGAATTGAGTCCCGTTATCTGAAACGATAGATTCAGGAACACCAAACCTTGCAAAAATCTTGTGTATTATCTGTGGTAGTCAGTCTTCTACATTTTAATATTTATATAGTGTAACTATCGGCTACCACTAGATAGTATGCACTGTTTAATGGTCCAGCAAAGTCTATATGTATCCTGAACCATGGCATATCAGTTTTTGATAGGTGGTGACTTCGCTGCGTACTAGGTAAGACAGGTCCAATTTAGAAAAATTTTACCATCATTTAATTTGGCAAAAATTTCCTCTGGACTTGGTAATGGGCAGTTATATTGTTTTAAACTTTCATTTAACCCTGTTGAAAAAACAGCACTTAAGCAGATTTTATTTTTTACCGTAAACTGTTGGTGATGCCCATTTGGAATAGTCTATTTTTGAGATCACACCTAATTTTTCTAGTCTAATTCCTTATTAATTGGTTCTAAAGCTGCAAGGTACACTACTTTTTGGTTTAAATGTTGGTTTTACATTCGCTTTTAATTCAAATTTAGCTTTAGTTTTTTTTTGTGCATGTCCCTAGACCTTCTGAGAAAACTTCTGGAAAACTCTTTTTCAATTCATTCTTTAATTTTTCAGTTGCCGTATTAACACCGGAGGTAACAATATTTATTTTGTTGCAAAAAGAGTTAATTGGAAAGTCCCAAAGATCAAATAATGCAATCCAGTCTGTTCCAAATAAATTATCAGTATTCTTTAATACAAACACTGCCACTTTCTTGGTTTTTCCAACAAAAGAAATGTTACAGGTGAATTCACCCAAAAAGTTCAATCTCTTTCTTGAAACTCCATGCGCAACTTTATTAGAAGTCAATAAACTGGGTTTACTCATTTTTCTCCATATCTGTTTATTTATGATAGTGATATCAGATCCTGTATCCAGTTGTAATTTTATTTTTATATTATTAATTTCCACAAAAACAAATTTCCTCTTTTGAGAAGTTTCTAACTCGGTTAAAAATATGTTTGAAGTTTTTGTGGCATTTTTTGTTCTTGAAAAAACAATTACTTTTGAAATGCTTACCTCCACAATCGTGACAAGCATTAGTAGGTATTGAGGGGGGTTTATAGCCATTTTTACTGTTCTGTTAGGAGTTGAAAAACGTCTACAGTCTTTTCTCTTAGATGCTCGGGCACTACTTGTGAAATGTCTCTTTCCTCAATCCTTGTGGTATTGAATTTTAGATTTACAATATGTTGACACTCTTCCACTATTTTCTGGGGAGTTAATTTGGGATCCATTTCTAATTTAGTAAGTATCCTGGATCTTATTTTCGTGTCCTTATTAGAAGTTAAACCCTGTATGAATATTAGGCATTTAAATAAATCCAGAGTTAATTCATTTAACTTGCACTTTTCACATTCTTGATTAACGACTCCTGCATAAGTGACAAAATCATTGTTGCACTTTACTAAGACATTACTATTGTGTATTAAATAATAAGCTCCTATCACCAGAAATTTGTATCTTCTATAATAAGCTGGAAAAGTATTCCTTTGTCTGGATTGTATACAAATTTTCTGATTGAATTAGCAACAGCAACTGGAGTGAATGAATCTGAAGTCTTTCCTTTTGTAGTTTTAGTAAAAAATTAAAAAAACTTCCGTTGTTGTAACTGCAATTGCTGTTCATGTTGTTGTTTTTGTAGTTTTTGTTGCTGCAACTGTTGTCCTTTATGTTGCTTTTGTAGCATCAACATTTGAATCATGATAGCTTTTAGTTCTCCCATTTTGAATATTTTTCTTCTGCTGAATATTTTGTACATTAATTTTTGAATAACTTTGCCTGGTTATTTCTCTGTAGTCCTGCAAATATGACATCTCTTTGGTGAAGTGGTAAATATTATTGAATATCCTATTACAACATGTAGGATACATATATTTTATTTTTTCCTTGTGTAAGTTCAACGAATACTCATTGCCACATTTGTAATGCCCATTTGTAGGAGAGATTTTGTAAATCACAGATACAATAATAGTAATGACTTCAAACAATACTTGGTTAACTGCTGCTAATTCCCACAT